GCATTTAACTAGGCTCTAAGGGATCACGAAGGAGTATTCAAAGAGGTATGAAGGGGGTGCCAGGCAGAGGACCCAGTGTTCATGAAGGTCCTGATGTTGCAGGGAGCTTGGTTTGGGGGAATTGAGAGAAGAGTCAGGTGCTGAGCCTTGGGGATAGTGGTACACAATAGGACTTCTGAGGTGGGCAGGTATGAGATCAAGCAGGGCTTTGTGGACATGATTTGGAGTGGGGCTTTATTCCGGGTGCAGTCAGAGAACTTAGAAGGATTTTGAGCAGAGGGGTAACATGAAATGCAATGCTTTTTTAGGACTTATTGTAGTAGCGCTTTGATGAATGAGTGGTGAAGGGGGTGGTACTATGGACTGAATGTGTCTTCCCCATCCGTCATTCATTCTTATGTTGAAACCCTAATCCCCAGTGTGGTTGCATTTGGAGATGGCGGTCACTGGGAGGTAATTAGGTCATGAGGGTGGAGCCTTCATGAATGGGATTAAAGCCCTGAGAAGAAGAGACACAAGAGAGATTCTCTCTTCCACCATGTAAGGATACAGCAAGAAGATGGCCTTCTGCAAACTAGGAAGAGGGTCTTCATCAGGGACTCACCGTGGTCTTGGACTTCCCAACCTCCAGAAGAGTGAGAAATAAGTTTCTGTTGTTTAAGCCACTCAGTCTGTGGTGTTTGCTATAGTAGCCAGAGCTGGCTAAGACAAGACATCAGGAGGTGGTTTTCAGGAACAGGAAAGAGATGGTGAGTTCTGGAATTCGGACATTGTAGCACTAGATTTTAAGCTATATTTTGGAAGTAATATGTATCCAAAGATATATCCAAAGTATATGTCTTCGGAAGAAGCTCTATTTTGGAAGTAGGATTGGATGGATTGGATACAAGAAATGAATCAAAGGAAGACATTCAAGGGTGCTTTCTCAATTTCTGGCTTGGACACTTAAGTTGAGGATAGTGCTCTTTGCTAAGATGGAAAAGACTGGTTTTGGGAGCAGACATCAAGAGTTTAGCTGAGTGCTTACTGACTTAGAAAAGCCCGACACCCAAGTTGGGAACTGGCGACTGTTGGATGTAAGTCAGAAGCTCAGAGGAGAGGTTTGGATTGGAGAAACCCATTTGGGAGTCACCAGCATATAGAAGAACTTAAAAACCATTTAGAGACCGACCAAGTAGGGAAGTATCCAGCCAAGGAAGGGAAACAGCTGTAGCTCGTCATACCATGACATAAGTTACCAGGTGCCCTGAGATGGGGGACCCAGGGCTGCTAGCCATAGTCTCTTCAACTTTAAAGCTTTCTTAGGTCTTCCCAATTTTGGCCTCAGGTGGCAGTCTCCCCACCCCCCTTCTTTACGGGCACTTTAAAAAGGCATTTATGATTATAGATCCTTCATTTATATTTTAATACAAAATGTTCTGTCCCTCATATTTGAATTCTCTATGAAACTTACTTTATGGGGTAGAGGTTGGGAAACACTGTAATAGGGATCAGAATGGATAGAGGTACATATGTGGCCCATACAAAGGGATTCCCGGAGGACAGGGCATCTGGAGGCGGGTAGAAGAGGTTTTGCTGGGAGAAAATAGGTAGTTTCTTAGGCATCTTTCCATTTCACCGTGTGGTTAGTACCAGATTATGCCACTAAAATCATTCCTCCATCATGCTTCCGTGGGCATATCCTGATTGTCATGTGTGGGTTAGGCACTAAGTGCTGCGCTTTCTAAGGAATATGACGTGAAAATGCTATGCTATCCAGGTGTATACCAAGGACCAGGCAGCTCAGAGAAGGGCCAGTGCTGAATGTGCTGGCAGAACCTTTGGTTTCTGAAAGTAGACCCTCACTTTCCATATCACAGCTGTGTATTTTTATTTGTTCATGGTCTAACTACAAACGCACTTAACTGTCTACCTGCCCTGCTGTTGACCTTGTTTATTTCTAGATACTGCTTCTTGGGCATCCATTTGCCTGTTTTGTCTCGATCCTCTAGTTCTGTGGAAGGCTTCTCCCTTCAATGCTACTGCATACTGAAGAGTTATTCAGAATAACTGAATTCTCCACCTCAGTATCACCTCTGCCTCACTCCTGCTCCCTTGCAGTCTGACTCTGAATTGTAACATCGGTAGATATTTTTTCCTACTGTATTTCTTCCTCTTTAAGTGGTTGATGAACAGTTTACTTTGTATATTTTATCTTTATTGAACTAGCCTCATATGTTTCTTTGTTCAGTCATTCATTCAACAAATATTTATCGAGCACCTACTATATGTCAGGCATTGTTATAAGCACTAAGCATATACTTCTGATCAAAAGCAGGTAAGAATCCCTGCCCTCTTGGGGCTTCTGTTCTATTGTGTTCCTTATATTCCACCGACACTACATTACCTACCACTTTATCTTTGCAGCAGTGATAATGACCTGGTTTTTCACAATGCTCTACTTAGGACAGGTTCAAGTGATCGGCTCACTCCATCCATAAAGCTATGTTTTACCAATGGGTATCCATTAGCTGGTATCCCTGACTAGGGAAATTGCACCGCTGTGTCCATTTTTGTCTTGTTTTAACTTTTTATCCTGGAAAGAAGAGTTGTCAGTCTGGTTTTGAAATTTAGCAGCCATTTATTGATACTGGTAATTGTATGATTTGGCAACAGTGTTTAATAATTTTTTAGTGTTCATAGTTAGACGTGCTACAGGTACATACTTTATCATGAGAGAACATAGGCGTATCTTATCAATGATCTTTAATATAACCTGTAGGAGAATAAGTAATTCTAAGGTGAATAAATATTTAAAGTGATCTCACCTGTGAATAATTTGTGATTTCTTCCTCACTCATTCACAGACCACACTGCAACTTTAAAAATAATTGAAAGATAGCTGTTGCTCTATTAAAAATTATTTAAATCTTTTAAAAGCACCTAGTAGCATAGCAGTTAGTCCAAACCCCTAAAATTTTGCATGTATTTGAAAAAAAGTATTCAGGAGTGGAAATTTTTTTGCTTACATGGAAATAAAGCCTTTAAATACCCATACTTATAAATTACTTTCCTACAAGATGAGTAGATTCTTTGTGGGTAATTAAGCAATACCTTCCAGATTTACTTGGTATGATTTTTATTATTAAAGTATTTGCTTTTTTTGTACTCCAAACTCGTTGAACAGCAATGAAATAAGATGTCTTGGAGGCCTTCGGGATTAATTCAGATGGTCAGCACACTTGAAATAAATGCCACTTTAGATGTTTAGGCATTTTTGTCCTTCTTAGGTTCTTAGCTATGAACATCATAATAGACAAAAATCTTGCTTTAGGAAATGTGTGAAATGGGGGAAAGAATGGGAATGTCACGGTGGTGGGATAAAAGGTTTGCCCTAAACCATTGTCATCTGATGCTGTGTACCAATAAGCACTTTTAAAGAGGTTTTATACAGCGGAGAAGGATTTAAGGCAAGTATCTATTAAATGATACAGCCTTAGCCTGAAGAAAAATAGATTATGAAGTCATGGACATGTGGTGTGATTATGTATCCTTTGGCATGCATGCCATAACAATACTTTCTGGAATGAATTCCTATTATCCCCATCAAAAATAAGAGTAGAAACAGGCCTTTATTTTCGGGAGAGAGGGCAGCAGGGCAGATCCGAGTGGGTATTGCCTGGACCTGAAGCCCGGGCATTTGGCAGTGTGGAAGGGGTCAGAGCAGGTAGCGAGTAAGAAGGTTGAGTATCAGTGGATGGTGGATGATGTCATAAATCAGAGCGTGCTGTGGATCCAGGCTGGGCTTGGGATGAAGATGGGTCTCCAGGATAAGCGTGAGTGGCCAGCATGTGTGACAGCCGGAGTGTTGATGGCACCGTTGTGACCCACACTGTGAATTAGGCCGTGGCTTTTGGGACACACCAGGCTACCGAGGAACACAGAGGTTAGATGGGACCGTAGTCAGGGAGGAACACAGAGGTTAGATGGGACTGTAGTCAGGGTAGTTAGCAGGTGTTCAAGGGATTTGCTACCAGCATGGCTGTGGGTTAGAGTGAACACTGGTGCACAGATCAGGCACTAAAGTGAAGATGGCCTGTGGATCAGAGAAGATTCAGGCAGAAGCTTTTCTCTGCCCTGAAGAGTGTTTTTGGAGAGGAGCTGACCTCAAGTTCTGGGCAGCACCAAGACTGAAAGCTCTAAAGTAATGATGTTCCTGAATTCTAACATTTGGAACTTTATTAAATAAAGTTTTATACCATTCAAGATAATACCAAGGTCAAGATGAAGGACATGGGCAAAGCCCCGATTCTAATAATAAATAGCTCCTATTTATTTAGCACTCACTGTATCAGGTACTGTTCTAAGTGCTTTCCATGTGTTGTTCCATTTCACCCTCCTATCAGCCTATTTAGGGAGCCAGAGGTTGGCTTGCAGAGATAATACTTGAGCAGTAAGACAGTAGGAATTACTAAGTCTGGTGTGTCGAGGCATGGGCTTATAGTACTCTCCAAACTGAGTGCTAAAGTTTATCATTAGTCTTCCTCCCTCATTGTTTTATGGCCCATGACTATTTGCTGTTACTGGCATATTTAACATGTGCCTCGGGTCATGTGCACTTTTTTGATGTATTTAACCCCTGTCTGGAGTGTCTTCCCAGACCACTTTTACTCTGGCTGGTTCCCTTTTCCGACTTCCCATCACTTTTATTTATTGTCTATACACATTTGGTGAGTTGATTAAATTCCTTTTTCCTTTTTTATACCTGTTTTTTAATTCCTTAATATGTGTAAATTTTGCTTCATCATCAAGCGCAGAAGTCTATATTGCTTTTGTACTTTCCACAAAACCAGCCTCATTGTGAATGATCCAGTAAATTCACATAGTGTATTATTCTGTATCTTCCTTTCTACTTTAATTTTAATCATGTTTTAATCAACTGTTAAAAAACTAATTATTTTTTTATACATCTTACAATGTAGGAATGTTACTTAAAAATTTTTTTCTTTAAATTTTCACAGGGCAAACTCAGAAAATGAATCTTTTCCAGGCGATAACAAGTGCCTTGGATAACTCATTGGCTAAAGATCCTACTGCAGGTAAACTTCCTTTGTGCGTGAGTGTGGTAGCTGTGTTAATTCAGAATTGAAAATTTGCTGGAAATACTGCGTCTGAAGCTCAATGGTTAACATTATGTCTCCCTGAAATTTTTTAAAAGATCTGATCAAATGATTAAGGTTAAATAATCAGATTATGGTTTTAACACATTTTTTAAAATCAGTTCATTATGAATTAGTTCTCATGTATATCTAACATCATCAAGTCAACTTTCTCCCATAGTATGTGTGGTCCTGATGTTATAGTAATACTTTCTGGGTTAATACCTACTGTGTACTTCTGTTTCTCCAGTATATAGAAAAAAATGGGAGGTACCACTTCATTCAGATTTATGAATCTGTTTATGAAATGAAGATTTGATTCCACACTTTCCTTTGAGATACATTGTCATCCCACTTACAAGATTTTTTTGAAATAACTTTTATATTTGTAAATAACTTTATCTTACAAATTTAATTATTGGTATAAAAACAGTTGTTCTGCTGTATGTTTTCTAAATTTGGTTGGCTTTACTTCATATATATATGTATTAGTATATATAAATATATATATTTAGTATACCTTGGGCTTCCACTTGAGAATCCCTGGTTTTAAGGTCAAGCAAAGTAGAGGTTATTTGTTAGGAGGAAGTGAGAGCTACACTAGTGGATGATGAGATCTTGCTTTGTTTGACTGTCATCTGAGAATGATTGATCTCAAGAGTAAAGAAGGGTGAATTGTTTTCCTAAGGTCCACAAAGCTGGTTAGGTGAATTAATAAATTCAGCTCTATGAACACCCATTTTTATTGTCATTGCCTTGCTCACTATCTCCCACCATTCTTGCCTCCTTTCACACAATTTAGGTTCTTTTCCTATTTTGGACTGTTCTCTCACCTTGGAATGCTTTTCCCTCAGCCCTTCAGATTGTTGTCTTTCACTGTAGACCATGTAAGAAAGAGAACCACTGGTGGGGGACTTGAGCTTGGAGTGTGAGTCATAGTTCTGCCCCTTGCTTTCCTACTGGTCAAGTTACTTTACTACTGCTCTGGCCTCGTTTTCTTCATGGGTAAAACAAGATGACGTTCTAGATCAGTGGTTCTTCATCAGTTGGGGTGATTGTAATCCCCCTTCTTCCTTTATGTTTAACGACTTCTGGAGACACTTTTAGCTGTCACAACTGTGTGTGTGTGTGTGTGTGTGTGTGTGTGTGTGTGTGTGTGTTTTGCAGCGGGGAGCGCAACTGTCATCCACTGGGTAGAGACCAGGGTTGCTGCTCTATGTCTGCAATGCACAGAACAGGCTGCTACAATAAAAGAATTATTCAGTCCAAACTGTCAGTAATGTTGAAGTTGAGAAACCTTGATTTAAACCTCGGATTCATTTCTGTTTTCTGATTTAAAGTGTAAACATTTAAATTACCTATTTTTTGTTGTCAGTATCACTTAAGGGTTATTAAATAAAACATGTTCTTTAAATACTGTTTTTCAGTAATATTTGGTGAAGATGTCGCCTTTGGAGGAGTCTTTAGATGTACGGTTGGCTTGCGAGACAAGTATGGTAAGTCACCATCTTTATATATGAATAGTATTCCTGTATAACTTTTCCTTAAATATCTTGAAGATACATAAGATGTCTGTTCCATTGTTTGCCATATCCTTATTGTATAGATGTTGGTTTTTGTTTTTGTTTTTGTTGTTTGGTTTAGTTTTCCATTTCCATAGCCATCCACAGAATCCTTTGGCCTAGATTTCTCCTGATGTGTTCTAATTGCAGTATCTCTCTGATCTGGTTCAGATCACACATTTATAGATGCCAAAATCATCTTCATTAAATGTATTGTTTTTCATGTCATTCAAATCCAGGAAGCTTTGATCTCTTACTACTGCCTACCCTACCCAATTTTGATTCCAGTGTCTCTAGTTCAAGATTCTGCCCTACTGGTCTCTTTTAATAGATTTCATCTTTTATTACCTGTATTAGTCAGGGTTCTCCAGAGAATTAGAAGCATTAGGATATATATATATATATATATATATATATTTGTAGCTATGTATATGTGTATATATGTATGTGTATTATATATTCATCTATATCTATTTGTATTTATATGCATCCCTCTCTCTATATATCTATGTCTACACCTATATCTATATTGAGAAAGAGAGAGAGATTTATTTTTTAAAGAATTGGCTCACATAATGAGGGGGCTGGCAAGTCTGAAATCTGTAGGGCAAGCCAGCAAGCTAGAAACCCAGGCAGGGTTTCTATGTTGCAGTCTTCAGGCCGAATTTCTTATTGGGGAAACCTGTCTTTTTTCCTAAGGCCTTCAAATGATTGGGTGAAGCTCATCCGTATTATGAAGGGCCATCTGCTTTCCTAAAAGTCTAGTGACTTAAATGTTAATCACATCTAAAGAATACTTTCACAGCAATATCTATACTATTTGACCAAACAACTGGGCACCATCATCTAGCTGAGTTGACACGTGAAATTTACCATTCCCTCTTCCAAAGAAAGAAAAAAAAATTCGCCATCCCATTATCCTTCCACACGTCTTACCTCAGCTGATCTCTTGGCTTTTGCTTGGGTTGTGATTGATTTCTACCTATTGCTTTTACTCATTTCATTTGGCTCAGACTTCAGACAGAGTGCATTTTGGCCCATCCCAGCATCCTCCCTCCTGACTTGCTGTGTAAGGAATATATTTCAACTCCTTACTGTTAGGGGTGGCTTTGAGATGATTTGACTTTTCGTTTCTTCTTTCAGTCTTACCTAAACTGGAAGTCAGCAAAATGCTTAAGTTTAGGGGGAGGAGTTGACTTCTACCTTTCTTTTTACCTTTGCCACTGCTCTCTAAAGCTCACGGGTGCATGCGAGTAAGGGGGAGAGTCTTTCCGATTTTTTTTTCCTAATTGTTGTTCTTCCTTTTTCCACTCTTCTCTGAGGTTGTGTTATATTTGAATCCAGGACGTCATGGCATCATGTTCCACCTCGCTACCAGGAAGTTCTCTTCTCTTTATAGCAGGTTGATTTTCTGAGTCTTGTCCCTCTGCTTTCTCCTGTCTCTTTCTAACAGCTGTTTAGCGATTGAGATAATTGGGCCAATCTCTACTGTCTCACACTGTCTCACACTGTCTCAGTTCCAGCTAATTCAGGTGCCTACAAACTTTAGCTCTTTAAAAAAAATTGAAAAGTCTTTATATATATTTGATTTCAGAAGCAATGCATACGCATTGAAGAAAATTTGGAAAATACAGAAAAGCAGAAAGGAGAACATAAAATTGTCCATACTTCCAAAGATAACCTAGAGAAAACCATGGTACCCCTCTTGGTTTACACACTTCTAGACCATATTTGAATATATCTGAATATGTTTGCATATATTAGCTAATGTTTAAAACATAGAATTATACTTTTGTTTTCTTCCTGTGATTTTCAGCTCCACTTACATTGCCCACCTGTTCTTGCACGTTGTCTACTTTATCCATTGGAACCCTTCACATATTCATCTTAGTTGTTTTAAATCCCTGGTCTGGTAATTCCAATCCCTGCCCTGTCTGGTTCTGATGCTTGCTCTGTCTCTTCAAACTGTGATTTTGCCTTTTGGTGTGCCTTGTAATTTTCTCTCGCTAGATGGACATGATGCACTGGGTGAAAGGAACTGCTGTAAATCGGCGTTTAGGGGTGTGGTGGTGAGGTGTTTGGGGAAGGGAAGCATTCTGTAGTCCTGTGATTAGGTCTCAGTCCTTTATTGAGCCTATGCCTCAGGACTGTGAACTTCATAGGTGTTTTTTTCTCTCTCTCAGGTGGGACAGGAGGGCTGTTGCTGACTGGAGTTGGGCATTGTCCTTCCCCCAGGTCAATTATACTCTGACAATAAATACCCGCGTTTCCCTTGATGTCAGGCCTTTTTAAGAAGGCAGTGCTCTGGCGTATTTCAAAATGGTTCCTTGACTGCTTCCCCAGCTGGAAGCAAGAAGGGATTTTTCTTCCGTGTTTATCCTAGGAACCCGGTCGAGCTCCTGGAGGTAAGCCTCACAATATTGGGGAGGCCTCCTTAGGACTGGATCCCTGGAGTTTTTAACTCTCAGGCTTGTTCACACTGAGCCTCCAGAGACTCCTCAATTACAGTTCAAGTTTTCCTTCTCTGGCACTGGCTCTCGCAGTGGTTTTTACTCCTCAGTCTCAGCTCTGGTAAGTCAAGATTCCCCGTACTCCTCTGTCTCTCTCTTCAGTCTCGAGGACAGCAGTTTGCTCTCTGTCCTCTCTTCTCTCTCGGGTCTAAGAAGAGTTGTTCATTTTTCAGTCTCTTTGGCTTTTGACTTGCTGTTAGGTCAGAGTGGCTACTTCCAAGCTCCTCACGGGTGGAATTGGAAACCAGAGGTCGAATTATACTTGAGCCACGTAGGCTTGTGTACGTCTGGTGTAGCTGTGTGGCTGCGCACTTTCTAGCCTCGCTCTCCCTGTCTTGCCCTCGCCAGTGTGGTAGCGTGCTGAGCACTCGTTGAGGCTGGCGAGGCTTCTTTTGGCTGCCTGCCCAGGTTCTCATCAGTGGTGCTCTTCCGACTGCACCCATTCTGTCTGGGGCATTTCATCCCTGTCCCCTGCTGCTCACTGGGGACTGGCGAATTTCTAAATCCAGTGTAGAGCTCCAGCTTGAGCTTCACATCTGTGTTCTCATTATACCACGGCACATCATCACCTCGGTGTTCCAGTCACTTCAAGCGCAGCATTTCCAAACTCTTATTTTCAAACTCTGCGGAGTGCATTATCTCCACCCATCAAATCCACAGTGACCACTGCACTTGCTATCTCGGTGAATACGCCACTATCCGTTCAGTTACCTGAGCCAGAAACCGGGGGGTGGGATCTGAGTCTCTTCCTCCTTTCCCATTCTTCACCCCCAGTCATCTTCACAGTTTGTCTCTAAAGTGACCTCTCCTTTCCATTCTCACCTCCCTAGTCTGCCTTCAGATCCTTAATCATATTTGCTTGGACAGTTTCACCGCTGTTCTTAGCAATCTGCCTCCCTCCAGGCCCCACCTGGCCGCCAGTGTGACCGTTCTACAAGGCACATTTCATGGCAGGTTATACAAAAGACTCCGAGATCTGTCCTCTGCCTACCTACCTGGCCTCATTCAATTTATTCTTTTTTTTTTTTTTTAAAGATTTTATTTATTTGAGAGAGAGAGAATGAGAGAGAGAGAGCACGAGAGGGAAGAGGGTCAGAGGGAGAAGCAGACTCCCCGCTAAGCAGGGAGCCTGATGTGGGACTCGATCCCGGGACTCCAGGATCATGACCTGAGCTGAAGGCAGTTGCTTAACCAACTGAGCCACCTAGGCGCCCTCATTCAATTTATTCTTTACCAATATTGAATCGCTAGATGTTTTCCCTAAGCCTCTGCTTTTTTCCCCATCTCTGGTCCTTTGCACATGCCATTTGGATCTCTCTCTCTCATCCGATTCCCTGGTAAGCTCCGCTTTTGCCTTTAGAAGTTTCTTCTATAAAGCTCTTCCTGACTCTCCAAGCAGACCCAGGCAGTAGTTTTCACTGCTCAGATTTTATACCTTTTACATAGTGCAGGCTGCAGTGTCATTGTCTCCCCACCCACATCTCTGCACCAGACAGCTTCTGGAAGGCCACAGATATTTTAAGTCATCTTTGCATCCCGAGCTCCTAATATAGTGTCTGGCAGTACTTATGAAGTGGATGTTGTTGAGTGAACTTACCCTTCACTCTCTCACCAAGACAATGGCCCACTGCCTCAGAAAGGGGATTTCCTTATTTCCCTTTAATGACTTTTGGTTGGTCTGATTTTTCCTTAAAACAGCAAGAAACTCTCACTTGAAAAAGTCCTCTACTCATCAAGGCACCTGCAGATTTAGGTCTCCATGACACGGGGCTGAGCTAATTAAGCGCTAACTTTTAGCTTTATTGTCAGCTGCTGTGAATTTTTTTTTTTTTAACAAGCGCTTTAGGACTATGAATTGAAGTTTTGAATAATTCCAGGTTGATCAATATGAACAATTAAATCAACTCTCTCTAATGAGACTGAGTGAACGTCAGTCTTCAGGAGTGAAGAATAAAGGAAGTGGTGAAGAGAAATCTATTAAAATAGAACTTTTCCCATATTTAAAAAAATAGCATATATCTTTTAAAAACAATTCTCTGCCCTTTTGAGTGCAGGCCAGGGATGTTTAGCTGTACAGAAGCCTGTCCACTTAGTATTTTTTTGAAGTTAAAAGCACTTGTATTTAAAAGATTATATTGATCTCATTGAATACATGGCATTAAATGACATAGCAAAGAACATCTTGCAAGGAATTGATTAGCTTTCTGGGGAGGAGCTGAATGTTGAGAGAGACTGGATCACGGTCAGTAGGTGGCAGCCTACACTTCGAAATGAGGCTGTCCTTGCCCGTGGTACCAATACTCTGCCACGGCCGAGAAGCATTTTAAATCCCGTCAGAAGGGAGAATTTGAAGAATTGCGGGTTACTGACCTAATGTTGTGATGCTGAATGCTACTTGATATTAAAAAGAAGGAACTGGGGCGC